AAGGAGGACCATCAGCCTAACAAGCGATAGTTAGTGTCCTGATGGCCGCTTGCTATTCACAGAGGGCTGAGTACTTGTAATAAGAGCATTGTGAGAGGGGGCAGTTGGACACAGAGGCCTCTGCCAGTTTAACGATGGAGGAGTTCTCTTCACAAAGATGGCCTCCTTTACTCCTCTCTCAAACCATCGTTCCTCTCTGTCCAGGATGTGAGCATCTTCATCCCTGAAAGAGTGACCGCTGGCCTGGAGATGAGTGTAGACCGCAGAGTCCTGGCCTGATGATGTTGATCTTCTATGCTGGGCCACCATCCTTTTGGCCAGTGGCTGTTTAGTTTCCCCGATGTAAGACTGATCACAGCCCTCCTGACACTGAACAGCATACATGGATCTTTTGGATGAACAAGTCTTTGTTGTAATGTATTTTGGGGTTTGAAAGCTACAGAGATGTCTCAGTTTCTCTGAAACTTTCACAACATACGGAATGACCACTGGTCTGGGATCCTCCTTTTCACCTGATGGTTGACTGGAGTCCTGTTTGGGTTTCTTCTCTGCTTTCAGAAAGGTCCAGTTAGTATCTAACAAAATTAAGTCTGGTCATCTGGACGGTTTCTTTTTTTTGTTGAGATTGGGTTTTTTGTTGTTATTGTTGAGACAACGACAACAGCAACAACGCCTAGAAGACCTGACTTAACTTTGTTGGATTTTTTACCTGGATCATTGAGCATGAACTTTGATGCCCAGTTAGGATATCCACATTGCTCTACAGCCTGTCTTGTGTGGGATTTCTCCTTCTGCCTGGCTCTTGAGTTAGTGGGGACGCTGTCTGCTCTGTGGTACAGAGTCCCGATGACTCCTAACTTGTGCTTCAGTGGGTGATGTGCGTCAAACCACAAGTTCTGGTCTATATGGGTGGGTTTATGGTACACATCAGTTTCCAAATGTCCTCCATCAAAGACCGAGACCTCACAGTCCAAGAAAACCAACCTGCCATTTTTTTTTTACATCTTCTTGTGTGAACTTTGCATATTTATCCACAGA